GAAGCCTAAAAAGAGAAAATTAATGCAGCCGACACATATAATGATTGGTAAGCTGCAATATATTATGTTTTTTGCTTTGGGTTTAATACTGCTTTAATGCCCTGCCAAGTGTACACACTGGGTTTGCAATTCAAAAAATATTGGTGTATTAGTGAACTGAAGTAGGAACGTTAGACTATCTGCTGCTTTGACACGATAGGTTCAGTGTTTTGTAGAGCTGCAAAATATTGGGGTAAATGTGTATCATTAAGGCTCCATGCACACTGGCTTAAAAAAAAACGCCAGTGCTCTAGGCAGAAAAAAAACACTAATTGTGAAATTTGTTTATACTAGCGCATAGGAGCATTTAGCTTTTTTTCTGTAAGAAAAATGCTCTAAAAAAACACGAAACAGAAGGGGGTTTTTTTTTGCCTCTAAAGGCTGAGCTTAAAAAACACCTCTAGACTACCTAATGTGCATGGATAACATTAGCGTCTTTCTACAGGCAAGATGCTATACTCCTCTAGCAGGAGCATTTTTTTCAAGCCAGTGTGCATGGAGCCCAAAAATGTATTCAGTGCATTATGTATTTATTACATTAAATTAGACCTGCACTGAAATGTTCACTAAAACATACCTAAACCTTTAAAAGCAATGCATATTAATACACTATATTCAGAAAATGTACATTTCTGTATGTTTTTATGTTTGCTTAAAGTTACATTATTTGTAAAAGAAAGCTATATACCATGCATGCTCATACAAAGGACAGAACAGAAGCTGGAAGACATGCCATAGGTTGCTTTCACACACTTGCCTGTGCAGAGACACCCAGATGCCATCAAGGAACTTCCTATCCTAAGATGACAATGCTGCTCCTCTAGAAGCATAGGTTCTGTCAGGGTTGTCACCCTAGGATAGAAAGTCCCTTACAGGCGGGATGAACAGGTCAATAAACAAAATAAAATAAATAAACAAAAGTCTGCAGGAAGAAAACAACTCCCTCCAAGCATTCAAGGGAGGATAAATCTGGTACATGGTTAGATTTTCTTTCGATCCCTCGTAGAAAAATCGTTCATCAGAACATTCTTTCCTGCTATTATCGCGTCAACTAATTTTGTTCAAAACCACTTTAAAATGTCATCCAGTTCTGCTATTTGAATGGAATCCCAGGCATATAGAACAGGTTTTGTTAAAATATGTACGATTTTTTTTGTTCAAAGTTAGAAATGTGTCCAATCCTGCTTTTATAAACTTTCTGATCACTACGGTCCAAAACAAACGTCAGTTTGACCCCACTGACAAGTCGAATATAAAAAAAATTTAATTCTACTGGTTTACGCCCAATTTATGGTTTACTTTTTAGTATTATGATGCATAAATAAAAAGTGATATTCCTTTACTGATGTAAATACTGCTTTAAGATGCATACAGTACTGTTTACTAGAACAGGCCTTGGCCTTTGACAATGTCAATTCACCCCTTCAGCAGAGATCGTTTGACCAAACGTCTAGGCATTTTGTCATATAACCAAGACTGGAGAGAGCCTGGGCCACATTTTCTTTTTATTTAATCATCTGAGCAAGATTGGCAAAATCTTTGAGATAACATTCGAGTTGAGGCCTGTTTTAGTTGCTACATTGTAATTGAAGGTATTTTCTCATCTGTGGGTTGTAGACTTGCAAAATACTTTTTTCTCCAGGTGTAGGCAAGCCGTATTATAAAAGTAATTGTAACAACAATGGCTAATGAATTGCTCTTGATTTTTCACCTGAAACAAATATATTTATGAAATATATGTAATTATCAGTATTACTATTTAATATTTGTATGAGCACCATCACCTCACCCCACTCAAGCTCGAACACTCAACAGGTGTTATGAGCAAAATAATGTCTTTGAGTGTGCCCAAACATTTTTGTAAATGTAGCCCAACTTTTTTTTGCAGTAGGTCCCAGTCCATGTCTAAAATTGCCACGGGGTGATTGAGCTAAGATGAAAATATGCACGCATTAACAGAATATTTTACGTGTGTGTGTATATATATATATATATATATATATATATATATACACACACACTATATGTATCCCACATATTAAGCATTTGTATATGCCCTTTGACTGTATGTCTCGAATCTAAAGCTTCTTAACTGTAATATTTAATTGAAAGAAGGACATTTCCTATGAGAATATTACCCTTCGTTTGGATGCCACAAGGCAAAAGCAAAGATAGAACAAAACATTAAAGTGAATGACATCTGGATGCCATCTTTCCAATATGAGATTGGATTTGAGAGATATGAACACTACAATTTATGACTCAAGCTTTTGTGTACTGTGTGTTTGGCTGCAGTAATCAGAAAAAGATAGATCTTAGTTAATCCTTGCTATGCAGGTCAAAGTCCTGAATGATGATAGAAGGCTGCCTAATGGATATTGCCTTATAATCTGCCTACACCATGGTCCCTCCTCAGATAATACCATTGAGATGCACCCCATGTAGGTCATCATCATCATTCTCCTTCTTGTGTGCTTTCACATGCCTTATCTGAAATTGGTAAAACCAAAGAGTCATGTGTTCTTTTTCTGTGTTCTCTGGTAGGAAATGACTGAGGGCCTTGATATCCATTTTCTTGTGGATCTAAGGGTTCTTTAGACAGAAGTATATAAATAGAAGGACAGTTTTTGTAAACTGTTAAACTGGGTGTAGGATTCTTGATTTCAGGTCCCTTTGGCTCCCATACTTCCTGCAGGCTTTTGTACTGCACTTTTGTGATCTGGTAAAGTCCACCTAATTGTCTCTTCAATATTTCTACACAGGTGATAGCTTTAGTAACAGCCCGACCATAGGCACTAAACACAATCTGCTTTGTGTCTTCTGACTTCATATATGGCAAAGCATATCCCACCAAATTGCGTATTTTACTGCCTTCTTTTACTCTCATGTGTGCCACCTGTGGATGAAGATCCTTGAAAGGCAAAGGTTTTCCATCATCTTCATCCAGAACTCGTACCCGGCGGAGATTCTCCATTGTGGAGGAGGAAGCAGGATGTGTTTTTAAGTCTCAGCCTTAGGACAAAATGAAATGAGCCAGAGCTAAAATAAACTGTTTTAAAACAAAGAGGTCACCTTTTGGCTAAATAGCCAGCTCAGCTAGAAGATAAATGACAGCTGCTAAACAGCTCAGTGGGAATATGAACTCTACAACACATTCGTGACCACTTGCATTGAATTATAATAATATTTAAACAAACAGCAGTGCATGTGGCACGTTGGGTAAGATGTTGTCAATTTTTAACTAGGTGGTAAAATAGGATATAAATAACTGCATGAAAAATCTAGACAAGAATGAAACATTAGTATTACTTTGATGAATTTGATACATGAACATTACAGATATTGGGGCTTATTTACTGAAACTGGAAAGTGCAAAATCTGTCATGGTGGCCAATCAGCTTCTAACTTCAGCTTGTTCGGTTAAGCCTCTACCAAAAAACCTGGAAGCTTATCGGTTTCTATGCAGAGCTGCACCAGATTTTGCACTCTCCAGTTTTAGTAAATCAACCATATTGAAATTTAGTCCTGCAATGCTAACAAATATTTAAAAAACATTATATGAATCCATGAATAATGTATTAACTAACTCTACCTGAAAACATTGTATGGATGGAACATTTACGCAATTAAAAAAATGAGTTTCGGAATAAACAAGCTGCCTTAGAGCTGCAGAGCAGCAAATCAATGATAAGCAAGTTGCACGAATACTTACTTGTTTCTTTTGAGTCTTAATGACCTAGAGACAAGCACTCTTCACAATGCATCCTCCATTGAATTGCGACTACATTGAAGAAGAATGACTTTATGGAAAGTTGCCCCAGGGATATTCAAGGATTTAGAGTGATGCTGTCTTCTATCTGTTAACTTGTCCTTTTCCATAAAGACTTCTGAATGCCTCTTTTTATCAAGTCCTATCTAAAAAGAGGAGTTTTATTTCTACAAAGCTGAAGCGGAATTCTGGCCATCCTGGTGTGTGCTAGCCTTATCAGCGAGTGAGAGCTACTGTCAGTTCTGTGCCTGCGTTGCCTGTTCTGAACCACACTGCTGTGTCAGATGCACTTAGTGAGAAGCCCTCCTCCTCCTTCTTTCACCCATACTCTTTTCTCAACACTGGCTGCAAAGGAAAGAAGCACCAGGGCTGTTACTTCAATTCAACCACTTTGCTAGTGGAATGGAAAAGCTGAGAGATTATTATCTGTAATTATACCCATAGCCTATAGACAGGCTTAGCTGAGCTTTATAATCATCTTGTCTAAGTTGCATTTTCGCTCTTACCTCCTTTTCAGCATGCTCGTCTGCCTATTTTACATTCCCGAACCTGCTTTTTCTTAAATCCACTGTTTCATTTCACAGCTGACTGTTCTCTATGTGCATAGGATATGCAGTCCCTTCATTCACTGTGAGGCATTGGCTGGCAGGTTGGTGGGTAGTGTATATGTGTCACCAAGGTTTCTGACCTAACCAAGGTGGGGGACCCAAGGGTTTGTGTCTAACATGGAGCAAACAAACTTTGCTGTTTTCTCAGATCTTAAACAATATGTTACCCCAACATGTCATATTCCTTATATGTGTTTGTTGTATTATATTGTATCATGTTACAAACTATCTCTTTGTATTGTTTCTTTGTTTGAAATACCTGGTGTTGCTGCAAGTCCTTCTGCTTTCCTATTTCAAACTATCCATGCTAGGCATAGAAGCACATCTTTCCCAGTGTGGTCAATTTTCTGGCTGTGCTGGGAGCAAAGCCTGTCTGTCCTCCAATGATCAAACTTGTGCTGACACCCCCAACTTCACGGCTATTTACTGGCACAGTTAGTGGCCTGCTGTCTCTTCTCCCTCAGATCTCTAAGCCCCTTATGCAGATGAGAACAGAGGTCATGTGGTTACTATATATATATATATATATATATATATGTATATTATATTGCCAAAAGTATCGGGACACCCCTCCAAATCATAAGACATGCAGACTGCTTCTACAAACATTTGTGAAAGAATGGGTCGCTCTCAGGAGCACAGTGAATTCAAGCATGGTTCCGTGATAGGTTGCCACTTGTGCAATAAGTCCATCCGTGAAATTTCCTTGCTACTAAATATTCCACGCTCAACTGTTAGTGGTATTATAAAAAAGTGGAAGCAACTGGGAACAACAGCAACTCAGCCGTGAGGTGGTAGGCCACCTAAAATGACAGAGTGGGGTCAAGGCATGCTGAAGCACACTCTGGGTTTGGTGGTTGCCAGAAGATCGGTAGTTGCTGACTGCATTGTGCCAAGTGTAAAGTTTGGTGGAGTGGGGATTATGGTGTGGGGTTGATTTTCAGGGATTAGCCTTCACTGGCCCTTTTGTTCCAGTGAAGGGACTCTTAAGGCATCAGCATACCAAGACATTTTGGACAATTTCATGCTCCCAACTTTGTGAGAACAGTTTGGGGTTGGCCCCTTCCTGTTCCAACATGACTGCACACCAGTGTACAAAGCAAGGTCCATAAAGACATGGATAAGCGAGTTTGGGGTGGAGGAACTTGACTGGCCTGCATAGAGTCCGGAGCTGGATCCGAAGGATCATCTTTTGGATAAATTAGAGCGGAGACTGTGAGCCAGGCCTTCTCGTCCAACATCAGTGTCCGGCCTCACAAATGCACTTCTCCCATAGACACACTCCTAAACCTTGTGGACAGCCTTCCCAGAAGAGTTGAAGCTGATATAACTGCAAAGGGTGGGACAACTCAATATTGAACCCTACAGACTAAGACTGCGATGCCATTAAAGTTCCCCTCAAAATAACGCAACACGCAGCCATTAATGTCTGAACCACTGGCAACAAAAGTGAGTACACCCCTAAGTGAAAATGTCCAATTTGGGCACAATTAGCCATTTTCCTTCCCTGGTGTCATCGTTAGTGTTACAAGGTCTCAGGTGTGAATGGGGAGCAGGTGTGTTAAATTTGTTGTTATCGCTCTCACTCGCTAATACTTGTCACTGGAAGTTCAACATGGCACCTCCTGGCAAAGAACTTTCTGAGGATCTGAAAAAAAGAATTGCTGCTCTACATAAAGATGGCCTAGGCTATAAGAAGATTGCCAAGACCCTGAAACTCAGCTGCAGCATGGTGGCCAAGACCATAGAGCAGTTTAACAGGACAGGTTCCACCCAGAACAGGCCTCGCTATGGTTGACTAAAGAAGTTGAGTGCATGTGCTCAGCGTTATATCCAGAGGCTCTCTTTGGGAAAAAGACGTATGAGTGCTGCCAGCATTGCTGCAGAGGTTGAAGGGGTGGGGGGTCAGCCTGTCAGTGCTCAGACCATACGCCGCACACTGCATCAAATTGGTCTGTATGGCTGTCATCCCAGAGGGAAGCCTCTTCTAAAGATGTTGCACAAGAAGCCCGCAAACAGTTTGCTGAAGACAAGCAGACTAAGGACATGGATTACTGGAACCATGTCCTGTGATCTGATGAGACCAAGATAAACGTAATTGGTTCAGATGGTGTCAAGCGTGTGCGGCGGCAACCAGGTGAGGAGTACAAGTGTGTCTTGCCTACAGTCAAGCATGGTGGTGGGAGTGTCATGGTCTGTGGCTGCATGAGTGCTGCCAACACTGGGAAGCTACAGTTCATTGAGGGAACCGTGAATGCCAACATGTACTGTGACATACTGAAGCAGAGCATGATCCTCTTCCTTTGGAGACTGGGTCCCAGGGCAGTATTCCAACATGATAATGACCCCAAACACACCTCCAAGGTGACCATTGCCTTGCTAAAGAAGCTGAGGGTAAAGGTGATGGACTAGCCAAGCATGTCTCCATACCTAAACCCTATTGAGCATCTGTGGAGCATCCTCAAATGGAAGGTGGAAGAGCGCAAGGTCTCTAACATCCACCAGCTCCTCATGGAGGAGTGGAAGAGGACTCCAGTGGCAACCTGTGAAGCTCCATGGCCAAGAGGGTTAAGGCAGTGCTGGAAAATAATGGTTTCCACACAAAATATTGACACTTTGGGCCCAATTTGGACATTTTCACTTAGGGGTGTACTCACTTTTGTTGCCAGCAGTTAGAACATTAATGGCTGTGTGTTGAGTTAGCAGGAAAGCAAATTTACACTGTTATACAAGCTGTATACTCACTACTTTACATTGTTGCAAAGTGTCATTTCTTCAGTGTTGTCACATGAAAAGATATAATAAAATGTTTACAAAAATGTGAGGGATGTACTCACTTCCGTGAGATACTGTATATACAGGTGAAACTCGAAAAAAATTAGAATATCATGCAAACGTTCATTTATTTCAGTAATGCAACTTAAAAAAGGTGAAACTAATATATGAGATAGACTCATTACATGCAAAGCAAGATAGTTCAAGCTGTGATTTGTCATAACTGTGATGATTATGGCTTACAGCTCATGAAAACCCCAAATCCACAATCTCATAAAATTAGAATATTGTGAAAAGGTGCAATATTCTCGGCTCAAAGTGTCCCACTCTAATCAGCTAATTAAGCCATAACACCTGCAAAGGGTTCCTGAGCCTTTAAAAATGGTCTCTCAATCTGGTTCAGTAGGAATCACAATCATGGGAAAGACTGCTGACCTGACAGTTGTGCATAAAACCATCAATGACACCCTCAACAAGGAGGGAAAGCCTCAAAAGGTAATTGCAAAAGAAGTTGGAAATTTTTTATTTGAAAAAAAAAACTTGCAACCAGCAACAATTTTTTATACAAAAAATATCAAAAGAATAAATAACGTAAACATCCTACTTGGTAACAAACAAAGGAAAAAAAAAGGATTACCCTCCTATAATAATACCCATAACAGACAAAGAAAAACCTGATCATTAGGACCAGGACATATCATTTTTTACCTACTTAAGGATCTTGTCTTTATAAACCTCAATTTTTACAGGAAAAAGTAAACAAGACAACAAAAGAAGGCTTTAACAGCCTACCTATTATCCTTCTATACATGCTTTCCGCAGCTTTTAGCCCTTTACAGGGGAAGACACACTTGTTTCAAGCATACCGGCCTTTCTGGCCTACCAACCTATACCCGCAACTTACCCCTCTCCAGGGGAAGCCTTATACATTATAAATTAGCCTCTACGGCTTTTAAAAAACATAACAAAAAACCTAATACATTACCCAACGAAGGTTAAGAAACCTAGACCATCAGGTATGTGTAGCCATCTTTCAAAAAGTAACCTACAGACAAAAATCCATAGGGGGTGAAAAAGGAGAAAACACAGAACAGCAACCTGACCAAGAGATCAACAGACTGCCGCTACAGGTCCAATGATCCTCCACACCTTTATCCAGACCCTTCGCCGCAGCCTGTCTTTCTCAAGACCCCGAATTTTCCTAACCTCACCAAGGATGTCACGCGCCACCACCAGGACAGGAAGGACCTTCTGCCGCAAGGAGACCTGACACCGTGCATTCCACGTGTAATAGACAAACTAGAAAAAGTGTATTTAAATCATACCCAGTATGACTTTCTAATGCCCCATATACCCACTCTGCATAAGTTATGCAGTGCAGGAAGGGGATGTCTAGAGCCCTCCCCACCTCTTTGTACACCTCTACATTGAAGGAACACTGAAGCAAGAAGTGGTCCATTCTGTCCACTTCACCCCCACACAACCACGGTCATCCAGAGAACGGTGCTTCAAGTGTCCCCTCACGTAGAGCCTGCTGTGCAACGCAAGCCAGGCCTGGTCCCTAAATTTTAAGGGAACCCTTTCCATATTTAATAAACGCAGACCCTCCCTCAAGATATGGCCCGGGCAATCCTTCAAGGCCAGCGATGCATGAAACGCAGAGGCCACAATCCTCTCGCTTAGGAGCCTCCCAAGGAGCGACCTGACCTCCTCCGCAGTCACACACCACCGCCTATGAATCTTCAGACACGGGGCGACATAAGTCGGGAGCTTACCATGCTTGACCCGCAAGCTTCCCATTGGCCCGCCACTCTCCCAGCAGCCCAGAAAAGGTCTAAACCAAACTTGGAAAAGACTTACCCATGCAGGCGGGTTCTCTTTTAGCATACTACCAATATTGTGCTTTATAAACATCAAAGAGAAAAAAAACAATCGGGTTGACCATACCTAGGCCACCCTCCCGCCTGGATCGGTAAGTCACATTCCGCTTCACAAGGTTCAGTCTGTTCCCCCATAACAGCTGGAAGAAACAACTGTAAACTCTCATATAGAGAGACTCTGGCAAGAGACCGACGAAACTGATGTACAAGAAAATGGGGACTAAGTAGGTTTTAATTAGGTCGACCCTTTCCTTAGGGACAACTGCCAACCCTTCCAGCATCTCACTTTGACATCGGCATCCGACAACCTGGATTCCCAACTTGTTTTACTGTAATCATCAGGTCCAAATTCGATGCCTAGCACTTTGATCTTCTGACGGGGCTCTGGGAAGGCATCCGGGAGCTCGAAACCCTCACCTTCCCTGCCCATCCAGAAAACTTCACATTTTTTGTGATTAATCTTGGAGCCTGATGCCTCCGCATACTGCTCCATCACCGAGACCACCTCCTGAGCTTCACTAGTCCCAGAGATGAAGACAGACACATCATCAGCATAGGCCACGACCCTCAGAGGTGACTCACCAGTAGTGCCCCCCAACACCCCGCCCAACACCCCACCATCTAGCCTCCTGACGAAGGAATCGATGGCAAAGGCATAAAGCAAAGGGCTCAGCGGACATCCCTGGCGCACCCCCGAGGCAACCCCAAAGGGCCGCCCAACCCAACATGAAGCTCTCAGCCCCTTTATACAGTGTCTGCAGCCATCCAATGAACCTCCCCTCCAGGCCATACCTGCCAAGGAGATGCCAGAGGTACTCATGATCAACCCGGTCAAAAGCCTTAGCCTGATCCAACGCCAGCAAGTACTTCCTAAAACCATCAGCCCTGCACCACTCTGAAGCCTCCCGGAAAGCTAACATCGCTGAAAAGGTGCTCCTGCCCTGGACCGAACAGTGCTGCTGCTGCGAAAGTAGACCATCTGCCACTGACGACAGGCGCCAGAAAAGAATCTTGGCCAGAATCTTTCTATCGACATTGAGCAGGCTAATGGGGCGCCAATTCTCAATCATCGAAGAGTCCTTACCTTTTGACAGCAAAATCATGGCTGATTTCCTCATGGAGGGAGGAAGCGAACCCTCCTTTAAACAGCAATTAAAAACCTCCGCTAGGTGAGGTGCCAAGCAGGAT